CCAAACCGAACAAATCTCTAGAGGTTCTTGTATTACTTTCACTAGATTAAGCTCTGTTCCTTTAAACTTTTCTTTCAGTTTTTTTTTCTCTTTATTTTTATAAGATTTATAGACATCAAAACTGATGTTTTTATATTATTTTCACTACATCTATTATCCCTTAAACTTTCGTTTTACTTATTTGCAGAACTTTCTTTTGTATAATCTTTTAACAATTCGTAGTCATTGGAGTAAAAAGAAACGTGCATACACCATTTTCTATTTTCATTATAACATTTAAATGTTTCACTATTGTTCTATTTATACATTTGATCGATTTTTTCATCTTTTTGTACTAGGACTCCACTATATTTTGGACGGCGTCAAAACCTCTACCCCGTTCTCTTTGAGGTTAGTGTTAATTTATTTCTGTGTATTGTATATATGTGTAGGTTAGTGGCATGAAATGTGTGTGTGGATTAGATGGGGAACTAATTTAGTTATAAAATATGTATAGTGTATGTACTATGTAGGCATTTTGTTAGGGAGAGATTCTAAACTATCATATTATTTGTAGAAATTTAAGTGGTACAAATGTAAATACTAATTGAATTTAGTATCATGTCAAAAAGTTTTTGATGGTTAGAGATGTTAGATTCGCTTTGTTTTCAGATATCATTTTGTTTCTAATTGATATATCAGTAGAAAGCTTAAGTTATATAGTTGTGAATACTAACAGCGTTTGCATCCTGTCAAATTCAATTTTGATCATTAGAGGTGTCAAATTCAACTTGTCTTTTACACACTATATCTCTTTGTTGCTTAAGTTGTATATGTGTGAATACTAACCGCGTTTAGCATCCTGTCAAATTTATTTTTGATCATTAGAGGTGGCTAAATTCAACTTGTCTTTTACACACTATATCTCTTTGTTTCTAACTAATATATTAGTAGAATACTTAAGTGGTACAACTGTGAATATTAACTGAATGTGACATCCTGTTTTAAATTTTTTGATCGTTAGAGATACTAAATTCAATTAGTCTTTTATAATGTACCACTTAGCTTCTTAAATAATACATTAGTAGAAGATTTCTCGTCTTATCTTACGATAAAAAAGAAACTTATTAGATGAGTTTAAACTGTTTTTTTAGGTATCTACTATGAAAATCTAGTGAGTTAATTACTATAAACAAAACTTTTTGATCACTTAATTACATTTAAAGTCAACTTTCAAAGTTTAAGATACTAAAGTCAAAGATTTGAAAAATCAATTTTGGACTATTGAGAAACAATGTGCCCAATATTTACTTACTCTCTATAGTCTCCACTGGGAAGAAGAAGATGAACAAATTTTGTCTACAGAATTATTGAGTAGTGAAGTGCTTTCCAATGG